AAAAAAAAACCAGCAACAACTAAATTTAATGTCATTATTCAACTTTTCTTGTTACTGTTATACAAACATTATTCATTAGAAAAGAACAAAAAAAAAATAGAAAAAAAAGGAACATTTATTATTATCACTTTAGTCATAAAAATTATATAACGATTCTTTTCATTCTATTTTATTACTTACTTTTTGTACATACTTACATATACATACATATCTCATAATCTAGCATCTTTTCTTCTCTTCTTCTTATATTATAAATGTTTCTGACATTCATAGAATTTTATAATAATATTATTATTATCATTTCATTTTGGTTTTTCAAAATCACCTCTCCCTCTCTCTCTCTCTTGTAAATGTTAATTTTATGCAGAAAAAAAGGGACTTAAATTTTTTTTCTTCTCTTTTTTTCTATAATTCTCTATGCATACTTTATTATTCTCTCTTCTTAACCCATTCTCCAATTTTTTTCTTTAATATTATTATCACTCATAATATAATAAAATTTAATGGAAAATATACGTACTTACTGTACTACATGTAAGATCTCTAAAAAGAGACAGTAACTCTTAACTTTTGAATAAAAAAAATTAAGTAAAAAAGTCTCTTATGATCCACAAAATTTATAATAATAAAAATAAATTTTCAAAGATTTAAGGTTCCAAAAATTTTAATTTAATGAAATAATAAGAAAGAAAAATAGAAATAAATAAAATAATGGTTTGTAAAAAAGCACATTTCAGTTTAAAAATTGTAGAATTGAAGTCACTCATATACGATGTTTGTTCAAAATTGATATTATTAATGCATATATTTAGGACGAATTTAGTTATTTATTTATTTATGTTTTCTATAAGTACCTTAGCCTTTTGACTTGTAGGCCATTTACGATGAATATAGTTAACAAGTGTTCTTAGCAATGGTTTGGCAAGACTAACTGGGTCATAGTTCAGAAGAAATATTAACAGAAACTCCGATATATACCGTATAGGAGAAAAATAGAAAAGAATTTATTAGTTATACTGTCGATAATGCAATAATAATAATAGATTCAAAGTATTAAATGAAGATATTGCCATTGGTTTTGTATATTAAAATAGAAAATATGAGCCATTGTATACCGAATTTGAAAATTGTCTACCTCTCCGTTAAAAACAAATTCTCAATCAAATTCCTTTCCAGCGTTTTAGTTTTATTTATTAAATTAAAAGAAAAAGGGAGTAACTAATAAAATTTTGTGTACAGAAATTCAATTGTCTATTCGTATACATCTGATACAAGTTTTGTAAAGCAATGCATAAATAAGAGGACATAATGAAACTAATAAGCATATTTTTTTTGAAAATTTTCTAAATAAAAAACGAATGAATGAATAAATTTTTACATAATCTGTGATCAAAAAATTAGGTGGTTATTTTAACTAAATGCCTATAAACATTTTTTTTTAGATAAAAATATTCTTTGACGAAAAAGAATAAACGGCCTTAAAATATCATAAACTGTCTAAAGATAATTGAATAAAATTTTGATTAAGACAAAATTTTTACGACAATATGAGAAAAAAATTAAACCATTAAAAATGTCAAGTCTTTGACAACCCTTAGATATCCATTAAATGTGAATTTAACTTTTCTATATAAAATCTAAAAATTTCATGCAAGATATTTTTTTCTTAATTAGAATTGTTACGCACCAATTCAATTCAATTTGATCATACTAAATTAAAATGAGCTTAAAATGAGACGGAACTGACATACTTTATAAAACGAAATGTAATTAATCTTTTTTTTTACACAGAAAATCGGAACTAATGTTTATGAAATAAACCTTTGAGTAAAATTAATTTAAATTATTTTTAAAACGTGTATGTATCTTCTATACGTTTATTTTAATATTAATATTAAAAAATATTTAATATTACAAAAATGGAAAAAAATTATTTTATTTTCTTTGTAACTTGTCTATTTTATGGTTATACAGAGCATAATTAGAAGATTATTACCGATTTTTATATAATATTCCCATTTTTCTTGCATTAAAAATAATTTCTCTTTGATGTTTTTGATATCTGTATAATTACGATTTTATAATTACTTTATAATATTATTAATATTATTTAAAAGAAGAATGGGTATCGCAATATTCAAATACAGTAAAACGCATCTTTGATTCGACATTGTAAAAAAATATTAGAACTACTATTATTATTTACGCAGAACGCTTTTAATTTTATTATCATGAACAGTAATTGACTCGTGTGAAAAATTATTGATATTTGGTTACTATTTCGCCATTCAACTGGTTCGAAATTTTCGGCTTTAGTTTGAACTTTACATTAACCTAAAACTGAAAAATTCTCAGTTTTAATGTTGAAAATTTATAATTTCAATTGCACTTCATTTCAAAATTATATAAAATATCAACTATATGGCAACTTCTATAAAAACTAATAGACCAAAAGCAGAGTCTGTTATAATCTTACTGAATTCCTATGAAGTTTTATTTTGTAAGTAAAATTTGTTTTAAGTTTTTGCCTCTACTAGTACCCTTCATTACAAAATCCACATTAAACTTTTATATTGAGGTTATACATGTCCTTGTTTGTACCATCTCTGCTAAAAAATTCATACAACCGGCAACACTATATCAAATACAAATTTTTAATTTACTACAGATATCATATAATTCTTACGAAACGAGATTTTACATTTATTCTACTTTTACATTCAAGTAAATCAAAAAAACAAAAACGAAAAAAAATGTTTCAATTAAAATAAAAAAAAAAATTATGCAAAAATAAAATATAAACGGAAATAAAAGCCAAGATAACGGAACCAGTAAAAAACAAAAAAAAAACAAATATTAAAAAAGGGAGTCATTAAAATTATACAATTACAAAAAAATTAATTTTAAATTTCTTTTGCTTTATTAAAATGAACAGCACAAAAAAAAAAAAAGCGAAAAACAAAATTCTTTAAAGAATTTTCCCCTCCGGGTTTGACGTTTATGCTACTACATACATATATATACACATAATTAAATATCAGGTACAAATATAATAAATTACGAGTTCATGTCCTGGTTAACCTTTTTCTCTTAAATAATAATTATAAATGCAATATAAAATGTACGCATAGATAAAATAAAAAAAAAAATAATCTAGGATGTATGGCAGTATATACGAGTATATCATTAGTGAGATTATATTATGAGAGTTTTTATGAGAATAAAATCTAACTTATTTGAATTTGTACATTATGTGATTAAAAATATTAACATTATATATAGTTGTAAAAGGTGAATGTACACAAAACGGTGTACGATGATATTAATCAAATTTATAAAGGAAATATATGAGTATTAAATGTTTTGCTTTAACTTTAAATAAAATCTCATTACAATAAATTGGCTTATAAATTGTAAATTTTTAAGAATATAAAAAGTGAAAAGAATAGAATATTTTCTGAATTAAGAACAAAAAAAAAAATATTTTAAATAAGGTTACCGTGTCATTTTAGATTTTGTTTCTCTTACACATTGTCACTATGCTGAGTACGGTAACCAATTAGAATATTTTATATACATACTTAGAATTTATACTTTATATTAGATTCAGATAAATTTTTAATTAAAAAACGTGTTCCTTACTTCGTTAATTCGTATTAGAATTAAAATTTTCAAAATGAGTATTGTTGTGTAGAAAGACCGTTTTATTGCTTGTTACAGTTTTCTTCGCCTAAACATTCCTAACTTTAAAATTGTCATTTACTTTTACCTTTGTATTCCGAGATGGCTTTGAAAAAACTTATAAATTAAAACCTAAATTACGAAGGGTAAAAGATCGAAAACAATACAAGTATATATGTATTATGAATAATATTCTCTGGCAACACTTATTCAAAACCTAATTATATTTTAAACAACAATTTGTTTTTAGTATCCACACCATTAACAATTTATTTTGAGTATTTTGAGTAAATGGATTTTGATAGCTTTTAATTTATAATCTATTTATTGTAGCAAAGAAAATATTACCTACTCCATATTCTATTGCAATACTTTTTTTTCAAATTTATTGTTGAAAGGTCAAAAAATATTTTAATAATTAAAATTAACCATATACCCACCTGAAAATAAACCACTTTAACATACATACGAATTATTAAAATGTTCAAGATTCATTCCTATTTTATAAAAAAATATTCTAATTCCTCACATATTATTATAATATATTATGTACTTAATATAAATATTCTAATTTTTATGAATTCAATTTATGTATTAAGGTTAATTGTTTTAGTCATGCAAATTAATATATTGTATATATGTATGCATATACATGTATAATGTATGTGTAAGCAAAAACAAAATTGTTCATTATTCTTACACCACCATAATGGCTTAGAAATTATACAAGAAAAAAAATTATCCACTTTAAAAATATTAAATTCATTTAAAAATGAAAACAAGCAACAATATAATTGCTTCTATGTATTTTTTTAAAGTTCCAAGGATCATTGCTCTCTCTCTTATTATATTATAAATCATTCCATTTAAATAATTTAGTTCTATACATAATGTCTTACAAAACTGAAAAAAAAAAAACAAAAGAAGAATTAAATTAATTTAAAACTATATTTTAATAATATGAAGAAGAAGAAAAAAAAATATGTGTGTGAATGTACAAAAGAAAATAAATTTAATTGTCACTTCATACTCAAGGTTTTTTGTTTTTGTTTTTTCATTATTTTCTTAAAAATTATTATGCTCTACTTTTTGCGCGCCATTGTAGAAATTTCTTTTTTATTTTTCTTAATTTCCTTAATTCCTTTAAGCTATGCAAGTTTTGCTTTTTTTAAATAATATTTTATAAATTATTAATAATAATTAGTTTTATGATAAGGAAATAAATAAAAATTCTAACTAAAATTTTAAAAAAAAATTATAACAAAATTAAAAAGAAAAAATGTTTTAATTTTAAATATATTTTTATTTTTTATAGGTGGATATTTAGAAAATGTCGAAAGTTCGAACCCACAAAATGTGCCATCATTATGTCCCACAGGAATGTTTCGTTGCAATAACGGTAGATGCATCACATCATTGTGGGTCTGCAATTACCAAAAAGACTGTGACGATGGAGAAGATGAATTACAATCTTGTCGTAAGTACCTATAGTGTATAAAAAGTATTAATAAAGTATATCGAAGTAATGTTGCTATTTATTTAAAATTAAATGAAAATCAAAATATTTATTCCTGTCGAATCAAAATGTATATTTCTGTATAAAAAATCGAATCTAAATTCAATTGAAAATTATTAGCTTGTATATAAGAGTTTTAGGGCAATAAAATTTACTACATAATATTCAATCTCGCTTTGAGTATGACTTTATTTCAGTTATTTTAAGTAATAATAAAATAGTAATAGAGTTGCTTCTGAAAAATTCATCTGGAAATACTAATATTGTTCTAATTCAAAATAATTGTTTTTCTCCTTAAATTGTTCCAGTTACAAAAAGAACATAGTCTATATATAATATTTGGTATTTTATTGGATAATATTTCTTACGACACAACATTTTCAAAAAATTTTAAATAATCTACATGTTGAAATATTGTCGATTTTCATAATATTCCCAAAAAAAAAAGCTATGAATAATTAGTGTTATTTATAATTTTTCGTTATTGAACCATAAATAGATTTGAAAAATGTATTTATAAATTTGTTAACCATTTAAATTTTAATAGAATATTCAAAGTTAAATATAAAACCGCACACTTGTCAATCCATATATAATATAAATACATATATATATACATGTATTATTTATTTATTTTTCAAAAACAATAATCTGCCAAAAGCATTACAACTCATCACTAAACCTCAAAAACCAATTTTTTCAATAATAATTACAACTATCAATTTGAATTTTTAGTTATGCATATCTATGGTTTGTACATATCTATAAGATATATGGATTTGTCTGTATTTTGTATTTTCCAATTTTCTAAAAAAAAAATATCGATCGAAACAAGTATAATAAAAATCTATAATAAAATTAAATACAAAATAGTGTTAGAATAACACAATAAAATTGGCTCCTAACTATTTTCGTTCTGAATAAAAATAAATGTATGTGCACGTATATAGAAAAATATATACTAAAAGTGAATAACTTACACTCCATATTCTTACATACTCACACACAAATTGAATATTATAGTAAATATTCGTTAGATAAAAATACCTACAAAACCAAGAAAATTCAAAACAAATTTTTAAATATTTTGTTAGCATGTGGTTAAGCTTTCATTTTTTATAAAAAAAAAATTTTAAAATTTTTTTTTAATTTTTCCTCTTGATTTTATACAATTTTTATTTATTTTTACTCCTGGTTTTATGCAATTTTTCTTTTTTTTTGAAAAATTTTACAAAAAAGTTACAGTAAATAATTTTTCTCCCCCCCAAACATTTTGTTCATAAAAAATTTTCAAAAATTGCAGACGAAAATTTTCTCTTCCACTACAGTTTATTTATTTATTTATTTATTTATTCATTTTATTTATTATTTATATTTATTTTGAATTTTAAAACAAGAACAAAAAAAAATTAACTTTTTTCTTTTTCATTTATTTTTTTCTCTTTCTCTTTTTTTTTTTATGTTTATTTTTATTAAATTAAAACTAACAACACACAAAAATATTGCATTCAACAACAACAACAACAAATTGAATCAAAAAATACGAACAACAAACAAAAAAACAACAATCATACATGAAATGAAAAATACATGAAATATAAAAAACGAAAAAAAAAATATATAAATATAGCTCCACCTGAATGTGATGCTGGACAAATAAGCTGTGGTACCTATGTATTTAATAAGACTTATTGTATACCACCACATCATAGGTGTGACATGGTTGATGACTGTGAAGATAATTCTGATGAATTACAATGCAGTAAGTAAATATTAAATATTATGTAATATAACATGATATAATAATATATATGAATTTATGTATATATACACATATATTATGATATAAATGCACAAATACCAAAGGCAGATTTTAAATGGGTACATACATTTTAACAATCGGAGAATACAGTAATACCCCGCAGTTATTTCTATAATAAAATGTTGCAGTTTTGCATTTAACAAATACGGTTTCATATTTTTTGTAGAAATGAATGGCTATTCAATTGAATATAATTTTAAATTTCGTGAAATTTGTCTTATAAATTGTTTTTAGTGTTCACAAACCCTTTACACTTTGGGAAACCTCTTTTTGAATTATTTAATTTAATGCTATAAAAATTTGAAACGCATATTTCCCGAATGTCAAACAGAGTATCACTATTTATAGAAGCGCAATACGACACCAAATTATAAATTCATACATTTTAATTATGGTAACTGCTTTAATGTACTAATAAATTGAATGCTTGCAAAAATAGTTCAATTTACACAAAACAAAATTTGATACAAGTCAACTCTATTATTGCATAGTGAATTTTTTTTTTGTTTTAAAACACATAATTTGAATTAAATATCATAAAATTGTTAGCATTTCTACAAAGTCATTTATGGCGGTATATACCAAGCCATATATGGCGGACAAATCCATAATTGGCCTTCCACAAATAGAATAATTTACTAGAGACACCTAGAAAAATATTCTTCAAATTTCGTTTCTACTGTATGCAAGTACACAAATATATTTACACTTAATACAAATATAAAGATAAATTTGTATAAATAAATAAAACTCAGTCAAAAAAAAAAGCAAAACCAAGTGAAATGAATTTTAATTCTTCCCTCTTTAAATTTAAAACAAAAAAAAACGAAATGAATTTTTTTTTCAACAAATAACAAGAGTACAGATGACTAAGTCACAAATGCTATAATATCCTTTTAAACTCTTTTTTTTTATGATAAAATTAAAAAAAAACATAAGTATAACAAAATGTATATGCAATTTTATATGCGAGGAAAAAATATGAAGATATGCCTAAGGATATGCCAAAAAAAAAATTAATTCATATTGTGTGTATATAATATTATACATATAAATTTATGGTCATATATAAAAACAATACACAAATGTACAGAACAGAAGAAATAAAATACGAGCTATATATGAGTTCAAAGACCTCTTATCTTTAGGACATTTTAACAAAAAAAAAAAAACAAAAAAAAAATTTAAAACTTAACTAAAAACTTTAGGAAAAATTAAAGAGGTTATTAACCCAAAAATATATAAGAGTAAGAAAATAAGACAAAAAAAAAGAAGGCCATCAGAAAAGCAACAAAATATTCTTTTGCACAGGAGACAAAAATAAAAAGAGAAAAATTCTTTAACACAACTTTTTTTAAAAAAAATTTGACAAAGTTTTTAATAGTTCTTCACTTTTATTCTTCAAAAATTTAAACATCAAAATGGTTTTTTTTTCTATTGAGAGTGAGTATAATAAGATTTTATATAATAAAATTAAAATTATATGGACACAGAGAGTTTGTTATATACCATAATTAAAATAAAAGTTTCAGATTTTAAAAAAGACCATCAGGTCATTTGCCTCTGCTCCTTAATTTTTCTTAATGTGATTTTTAATTTTTTTGGGTAAATCAAAACTTTATTAAAAATTATAAAGTTAATTAAAGCCTCACAAATAAAAAGGTCCTTTGTTAATTACTAACATTTTGTATTCATATTTTTTTATTGAATTTTGTTTTTTTCATTTAAACTATTTTTAAATAGGTGCTACAGAATACCCTCTGTATTATATTAGTAAAGCAGCTCGAGAAATTTAATGGTTTCGAGTCTTTTCCAATATTTTAGGGTATATCCCTATGATTGCGTACAAAAATCGAAGAATAACCTTATATTAAAATCCTTGGTTTATTTTTTGAATAAAAAAACTTGTTTATTATACAACGGACGAACTTGTTATTTCTAGATCAAATCACCAACACAAGTGTAATTTTGGTTGTGAATCTTAAAACAAACATACATGTACAGTACTCAAATTTTAAGGGGATAAAAAATTTTTTATTAAAATATATTTTGCATTAGTTAAATGAATGTATAAATATTTTATACCAAATCGAGCCTCAACTGTATCAAAATTAAACAATCACATAAATAATCTCCCAAATATACCTCAACTAATACCTTAATATAAACGTATTTCTTAAAGAAATCCGTAATTTTCTCAATCCAAAACGCCATTTTGACAAAAAATCCCCAGGTCAAATCCAATATACCTCTCCAGAAAGGCATTCATTAGAAAAATTTTATGTTGATCATCATATTTGACCTTGATAACTGTGTTATAGCTCAAGCGTTATTGTTGTTTCAACATTGAATAAACTGCGAACTCAAAATACATAATTAACCTTAAAAGTCTTACTCACTCCAATTAAAATTATTTTCCAACTTCTATTGTTAAATTAATTTAAATTTAATAAAAATCTCAAGACTTTTAATTATGAAAGATAATAAAAAAATTTAAACTTCAAATTTTAAATAAAAATCATTACTACCGCATTAAAACTATGCCAACCACTAAATATTCAAAGAATTTTTCAATTAAAGTGAACTTGCTAATCCAGTAACAATATCTTAATTTAAAAAAAATAAAATTGTTTTGATATTCATAAATAAACTGAAAAAGAACGTCTACCCTTAAAATTATTTTACCAAAAAAAAAAGGATTTCAAATTGAGTAGTTTATTATTTGATTATGGAAAATTTTTTACTAAGAACACTTACACTTAATTTAAGTATCTTTTCTTTACTATACCACTACTCAAACAATCATTAAAAAATTTCGTTTCAAAAATTTTAAATTTCAAAAAATTTTATTTTGTAAGGACTCTTGAAGAAATATCTTTTGGGATTCTTTTTCAACTTATTCTCAAAATAATTTTCATATTAATTTTAATATTTTATTGACACTCAATATAAATCACTTTTAAAATGAAACTAAATTAAATTTTTATTTGTAATAATTTATAATTTTGCCATAATTTTTTTAAGTATAATAATATAAACGATTCTCAAAAATCTTGTAAAGGATATAAATTGCTTTGAAATTATTTTTAAATGTACGTGTAATTGTTACAAATGCAAAGAATATTTTATTTACCTTGACTGAACAAAAAATCCTCATATTGTATAAGTACGCAAAATTTGTAATTTCAACAATAAAGCAGAACAAAAGAATTGGATAACAAAATAAAAGGGAAAAAGGAAAACAAGGATATTTTCAAAAAAATTTTTGATACATTCTTTTTTATTTTATGAAAATAATTTTAATTTTCCTCCATTTTTCCCCCTCCTTTTCCAAATGAAATTGTTGTTGTTTTTTCTTTTATAAATCGTAATTTATTAACGTTCTTTTTCATATCCTTTCTGTATTTTATTTGTTCATTTTTTCGCTTTTTAAAGGAATTTTACAAATAAATGACACAAAATTTACATCCTTTTTTTTTTTGCATTTTTGTATTTTATTCATAAATAATGAAAATTAAAAAACAGAACTTATAACGCACGGGTTGTTTTCGCTATACACAATATAACAATTGAAAAGGCTCAAATTTTATTTACAAGAAAAAAATTTATTTAACAAAAACAAAAAATGGTATAACAATATATAAAATGGGCTAAATCAAATGAAATAAAGGAGCAAACAGATATTTAGAATTTTATAGAAAATTAAAATTAAAGAAAAAAACCAGAAAAATAACAAAAAATTTCTAAATTTAAATCAAGGTTTTTTAAAGGAAATTTCGTCTTTTATCCTAAATAGCTGCGAAATATAAATTTTTTTAATATTTTTCTATACGTATCTTTATCCCTGTACGATAATACAATATTAATATTAAATATATACATGTATATACATATATTCGTGTATAGATATAAAATATTATATTAAAATGTTCACATAGATTTTTTCTTAAAATTAATTTTCATAAAATTTTTGAAAAAAAGTATAACGCAAAATTTCAACAAAAAATTCTATTTTGAAATTTTTTTTTTTTAAATTCTAAATAAAAACCTCAAATTTCAAAGAAAAATATTATTAATATAAAAAAAAAATATAATATATTTAAAAAGGGTATACAAAATGATGAAAATTATTAATTTAGAGATAACAAAATATTTTGTTGAATAACGAATGAAAGCCATCAACATTATTTAGAGATTATTTTATAATTTTCACAAAAATTAATTAAAATTTTTAAAATTTATTCACAGTATTGAATATAGTAATAAACAGCTTAAGGGAAAATAGCATAATAAAATTAACATGTATATAAAGAAAAAATATACTCGTAATTAAATTAATATTTAGAATTAATTTTTATATATCAAAAATATTTAATTAATTTATTTTAGCTTAAATAGAAAATTCTATTGAAGAAAAAATTCAATTTCAGATTTTTAAATATTATGAGAAATTTGAAAGAAATATTTGCTTTTGAAATATTTGAATAACACTTCTCCCGAATTCGTTTCTGACACTAAAATTTTTACTATAAAATATTTACGAATTAGAATTACAAACTTTTGCATCGATGGCATTAATTTGTACTTCTTTGATTCGAAGCTATACTTATTTGTCTATAAATCCAATTTGGTAATTATTTATTTTTATAGAAATCCAATTTTTCCATAAAGTTCAATTTATATTTTGTTAAAATTTTATTATTATTCTTGAATTAACGTACGAGTAGTTACAGTTGTGACGAAACGTAAAAAATAAAATGTAATTATTAACATTTAACCTTAATTACCTCGAAATACCTTTCTTTGACTTAAACAGTTTTTTCTTAGAAAGGTTAGGTTTTCCTTTCTTCTCATCTCAGTCTACTTTTAAAATCAAAAACTATTAAAAGTTATAAAATTTCATACATAATTTCCTAAACGTTGAGCATGTTTGGATCCTT